TTTTTTTGTTGAGACCCAAATAATACCAATGGAAATATATGGTAAAAGTCCGTGTCGGCCTTTTCGCGCCTTTTTTTATGAAACCAAATATCTTGAAAAAGGAGCTTCATAACCTAGTTTTAAACTTAATGTATGCCTAGCATAATCAGAGTAAAAAAAAAATGTTATTTGCAGTATGACATATGATTTTATTAACATGGTTATGTGCACAGTAATTTTAAAATACTAAAAGTTTGTCTCAATACTTAAGTAACAATCATCTTCCCAAAGTAACGACCATCTCTTGTCGGTTACGACCAAATTTATATTCAAGTTACGGCCATCATGCTCGAATTTTTGAATGACTATTTTATGTACATGTATCAATTTTTACTTGTAGTCCACAAAAATCGGAAAAGAAAAACTTATCTCTAGAGTCGTCTATCATCTTTAACTAACCGATACTTTACGTTACGACCATTCGCTTACCACTAGTGAATTATGACGGTTTTCAAATGCTATTTGAAATAAATACTGCGACGACGTCATAGTTATTTGGATTATAGTGCCGAACAAGATTTTGTGAGGTAGACGAAATTGACCTTCAAACGATTGATTTAAGTTTTAATGTCCAAAAATAGGCAGATAGGACATATATTTTACTTTCCTTACTGTCTTCTTTTGTTTGGGATTAATTGTAATTATAATGTTATAATGAGACTGAAAAATGATTTTTTTTTGTTAGGAAAAACAATAATTATACCTGGCGTAAATGTTAATCGGCAATTCTCTTCGAAAAATGACTTGTTCAATGGAATAAAACATCAGATTTTTAAACTTTTCTCCAGTATAGGCTATTCAAAAATAATTCATCAACTCTTATAAAATGGAAAATTTTGTGAAAATATAAGAAGTGGCGGTTGTTTCATATGTACCTTTCATAGACATTTAAGTTATTGTGTACATTCATGCATGTTCTGATTTAATCAATATTCGTGTATCAAAAAAAAAATTAAATCAAATTGCGTAAGTTCAATATCAATGGCCGGTCCACATCATAATAAGTAATAGGGGTAAAATGGGTAGGGAGAAAATGACAAATACGTTAAGTAAATTTTTAGCAATAACAAATACAAATTTGTCAACCAAGAGTTTTGCTTTATTTCTAAAAACACGTCGTTCTGTATTAGTATAGTTTTCGCTTTAAGGAAAAAGAAAGTTTGGGCTTCAAAAGTCTACAAAATTATTGACTTTATACAGAAAATACGCTCTTTTAATTTATTTAATGTTTCACAAATAATACATGGATACAACGTAAAATAATTTCTTAAAACACTGCACACATTTGATTGGTATAGTGGAAATGTCATAAACTGCGTTGAAATGAACCATGGTATAGCAAACATCGAATTGCCTCACAAAATGTTAGCACACACTATAACACAATACTTTATCAATGGAAAATGGAAATTAACTCGACTATACTGACATATAAGGCATATGTGAAATGTACCGAAAGTACAGATTTTTCACCACAAACGGTAAGACATTACACATTATTCAACCGCAATCACAACAGAAACATCATAAATAAATCTTCCCCAAGGGTGACTGGGGAATAGAAGTATGGTCACCATTGGTCTTCCTCCGACCGGCGGTAAAACCCTCGTCAAAGTGGGGCGTCCGTTTGGCTGTGCGGGATGTACAAATTTGCAGCCACGTCCGGTCAGAATGGGGACGTTAAATCCGATGCCTCGTGTAAAGAGAGTGCCACGCTCTTTGCACGTTAAGAACCCTTGCAACAACTCTTTGAGGGGTCCGTAGGTGGCCTGTTGCAAGGCTAAATTTCTGTCCCTATCCAATATACCCTCATTTCCCGTGGCAGTCTAAATTTCTCCGACCTCAACCCCATACGCCTCTATTACAGAACCTACCTACTGTATTTATTGTTAATTTGTTCTCGTCCTGAATATGCATGAAATATTTGCCACTGGACGTTAAGCAACCAACAATCAATCAATCATAAATAAATTAATGCATAAATGTTGGATGTATAAAATACCGAGATACGACGTATAGCACCTCGGGTGCGGGATTTTCTCGCTGCATTGACGACCGATTGGTGGCCTTCGGCTGTTGTCTGCTTTATAGTCGGATTGTTGTCTCTTTGACAAATTCCACATTTCCATATCTCTTTAATTCTCAAAATAATGGCCAATTCAGCGGACGCAAAATGAACAAGATCATTGAACAGTTATTAACACGTCAAATTCCAGAAAGATGAGATGTGTCAATACATTGCTGCAAAACATTAAAAACTCCATCTTACCCTGGATTTTGTATCAATTGATGGGGATCAAAAATTTATAACTATTATATTGATTGATTGATTGTTGGTTGCTTAACGTCCAGTGGCAAATATTTCATGCATATTCAGGACGAGAACAAGTTCACAATAAATACAATAGGTAGGGTCTGTAATAGGTTAAGGGATTAAGGTCGAAGAAATTTAGACTGCCACGGGAAATGAGGGTATATTGGATAGGGACAAAAATTTAGCCTTGCAACAGGTCACCTACGGACCCCTCAAAGAGTTGTTACAAGGGTTCTTAACGTGCAAAGAGCGTGGTACTCTCTTTACACGAGGCATCGGATTTAACGTCCCCATTCTGACCGGACGTGGCTGCAAATTTGTACATCACGCACAGCCAAATGGACGCCCCACTTTGACGAGGGTTTTACCGCCGGTCGGAGGAAGACCAATGGTGACCATACTTCTATTCCCCAGTCACCCTTGGGGATATAACTATTATAATTAAATTGATTGATTGATTGTTGGTTGCTTAACGTCCAGTGGCAAATATTTCAATCATATTCAGGACGAGAACAAATTAACAATAAACACAATAAGTAGGTTCTGTAATAGGTGCGTCCGGGGTCAAGGTCGGAGAAATTTAGACTGCCACGAGAAACGAGGGTATATTGGATAGGGACAGAAATTTAGACTTGCAACAGGTCACCTACGGACCCCTCAAAGAGTTGTTACAAGGGTTCTTAACGTGCAAAGAGCGTGGCACTCTCTTTTCACGGGGTTGCAAATTCGTACATCCTGCACAGGCAAACGGACGCCCCACTTTAGCAAGGGTTTTACTGCCGGTCGAAGGAAGACCAATGGTGACCATACTTCTATCCCCCAGTCACCCTTGGGGTTATTATAATTAAACAGTCCGTGATAAAAAAAAAAAGGCTTCGTCAGTGGTAAAGCATTGCTGGCATTGCTGGGTATTTATAAAATGGTAATGTTGCCGAGCAATCGTGGTATTAATGACGAAGCTATTAAAAAGTGGGAAAGGTAGGTGATCGTCAGTTGCGTTTGAGCACTTAATAAAAATTCCTTGTTGAAAATACATTTTTGTTTAAATGTACATATAGAACAGAACTAAACTTATGCCTACAACATTATATCAGTCAACTGTGCTGATGTAACAGCTGCTAGCCATTCTGATGGGAAAATTCTTAATATGAACAGGCTAGGAGTACAAATTAAATAGATAACAAATCAGGAATGAAATGGAAAGATCTGGATTTATCTTTTGAAAGTGAAATAAAAAAGTGGCCAGCCCCTAATTATATCTTTGTACATCTAGGTGCAAATGATTTGGTGCTTATGAAGTCAACAGATTTAATCGAGAACATCAAATGCTCATTTTTAAGAATGAAAATTTCCGCAGCTGACATTTAAATCATATCGTTAGATATATTACCAAGGCCCTATTAGCATGGAACATTAAGGTCAAAGTAAGTAGAAATAGCCCAAAAAAAAAAAAGAGTCAACTGTGCTGTAAGATCGTTTATGGAGGAAGATTGATTGATTGATTGTTGGTTGCTTAACGTCCAGTGGCAAATATTTCATGCATATTCAGGACGAGAACAAGTTCACAATAAATACAATAGGTAGGTCCTGTAATAGATTAAGGGATAAAGGTCGGAGAAATTTAGACTGCCACGGGAAATGAGGGTATATTGGATAGGGACAGAAATTTAGCCTTGCAACAGGTCACCCACGGACCCTTCAAAGAGTTGTTACAAGGGTTCTTAACGTGCAAAGAGCGTGGCACTCTCTTTACACGAGGCATCGGATTTAACGTCCCCATTCTGACCGGACGTGCCTGCAAATTTGTACATCCCGCACAGCCAAACGGACGCCCCACTTTGACGAGGGTTTTACCGCCGGTCGGAGGAAGACCAATGGTGACCATACTTCATTCCCCAGTCACCCTTGGGGATTATGGAGAAAGAAGGTCGATACATTATAACATGTATAATGTATCCAACCATCTAAGCCTCAGAGTCGAATTTATTCAGACATGACGGCACACACCTGTCACAACATTCAGGCACTATTGAAACATTCGTACTCAGTGTTACTAAAGGTTTTCCCAAAAGACAAATGAGCGCAGAAATTATTTAGCGGTGCATGGGAAATGATGAGACCCTAAAAACAGACTTGGAACTGTCCCCCTCTGGTACATATCTCTACCGGCTCTATAGTGGAGGGTATTAAATAATTTCCTAGGATTCACTCTTGTCATCAAAAGGAAACCCCTCCACTTCTGGTATCAGAAGGGAGGTGTCATCTCCGCAGTACACATGATTAAGGTTGTTTGCATATCAAAATCGGGGAGACTGTTGTTTTGCAAAGGTTTGAGTGATCAGAGGGGGTTCTCCGTCCATTCAACTATTACACGTAGGACGGATATTTTGACACTTATGCTATCGTAGTGTCCCTGATATGCTCTTTTCATTCCATTGGTTATCTGGTTGTTTATCTCCCTGGAACTGGTAAAACATTTTATCCCCGGTCTATCAAATATTCAAACATACATATTTTTATACATATATTTGTTAGTAATAAATATTTTGTATTCTTTCTACACTTTTTTTGTTGGTTTTCAGCGCCACTTTTAAGCACTGCGTGGCGTCTAGTTTTATTAGTGGAGGAAGCCGGAGTGCCCGGAGAAACCCACCGATCATCGATAGGAAAACTGACAATCCTAGTCAATTAAGATTGGAGTCGAGTGCACCGGCACGAGCGGCGTTCGAACTCACTACCTCGGTGTTGACTGGCTAGTGATTACAGTAGTAACTACTTAGACCACTCGGCCATCGAGGCCACTTTCTGAGTGATGAAGAGACTACC